AGAGAAAAAGAGAGAATAGAAAAATTTTTTTTTATTTTTTTATTTTTTTATTTAATATGATTTATAATGTGGGGGGGGGAGATTTAGTGTATAATGTTGTGAGTGTATTGTGTGTATTTTTTTTTATGTATATTATTAATATGTATTTTATAATAAAATATTTATATATATATATATATATATATATATATATATATATATATATATATATATATATATATATATATATATATATATATATATATATATATATATATATATATATATATATATATATATATATATATATATATATATATATAATCTTGAGCTCAAATCCTATTAGCAGAGGTTTGGTCAACTTTCGTTCTTGATTAATGAAAACTTGGCAAATGCTTTCACAGTAGTAATGGTGAATATACACAGATGAGGATACACTTTGGCATTTGGCGCAAGCTCAGAAATCGCATTATCAAAGTGAAGGCGAACAGTATAGTTAAAAGACGAGAACTTTGACATGGTGGTCTATAGAGAGGGCTATAGCCATAGAGCTGGGGAGTAAATGCAGGTTAGACAAGTATTATAAGTGAGGAAACTGAGTGATGCCAGTGACATTAGAAAAATGGTGGCATTTGCGTTTGATTCCAAGCATTGCAAACAAATGTGGAATTGCAGCACTGAGGCCGCCGCCCAGTTGATTCGATCATGCGAAACTATCACAATGGCCAGGAAACTGCACTCGTGGCTTCGTGACACGTGTCATGAATCCGACGGCCCCTACATCTGGAACCTGGTCGTGCAGATGTACGGCTCTTGTGGCGGCCCCGTCGATGCCAGGATCGCGTTTGACGGCATCCGGCACAAGAACATCTTTTCGTGGGTGATGATGCTCACAGCATATGCCCGGAATGGGCATTTGCGGGAATCGAAAGGAATCTTTGATGCGATGCCAGCATGGAATTTTGTAGCATTTACAACAATGCTCTCTGCTTTTGCCAGAAACGGGAATCTAGACGACGCCCAGCGCTTGTTTGATTCTTTAGAGGAAACCAATCTTGTAGTGTGGAATGTGATTCTCACCGCACATTGCCGTGACGGGAATCTGGAGGATGCAGTGGGGATATTCCGACGAATGCCGGCGCTAGATATTCTGTCGTGGACGTCGTTGCTGGCGGCATTTGCCCAGAGAGGGCAATCGCAGGAGTGTCACCGTTTGTTTCACTCGATGCCCGGTGGGATCTTGTCGCTTGGACGGCTGTAATTAGTGCTTGCTCTAATGTCAATGGGTCTAAAAGAATGCTTAATAGCATGCCAGTCACAAATCTTTCCTCTTTAAATGCAATGCTCGCAGCATATGCCTTGCATGGGAATATAGAACAGGCAAAGAATCTCTTCGACAAAATGCCCGAACATAACGCTCTCTCTTGGAATATCGTACTAGCCATGTATGCGCAGCATGGGTATATTAGCAAATCAAAGCAAGTTTTTGATGAGCTAAAAGATGCTGACCTGATCTCGTTCAATACCATGCTCTTGGCATATACCCAAGCAGGGGATATTCAGAAGGCAAAGAAGTTTTATGACTCAATGCAGTATCACAGCATGGTATCCGTGAACACTTTGCTTTTCGCATATGCCCAACATGGTTTTTTAGACGAGGCCCAAGTCTTGTTTGATTCGGCGCCTGAAAAAAGTTCTGTGTCATGGAACTCTATTTTGCTAGCATATGCCCTGGCTGGGCAGCACGAAAGAGTCGAACGAATCTTCGAATCAATGCCAGAAACCAACATTGTCTTGTGTAATGTTTTCCTTGCGGCTTATGCACGCGTCGGAAAAATCGAAAAATGTCGCCAAGTTTTCGATAGAATGAACTACGCGAATCTATTCGCGTGGAACACACTGCTCGCAGCATATACCCAACTCGGGCACAGCGAAGAATCTAAGCAAATGTTTGATGCCATGCCCGAGCACAACCTGGTATCACTAAATGCCTTCCTTTTGGGCCGGTCTGTGTGGGAGACACAAAGAATGTTCTCCTGGATTCCACAGAGAGACATGGTGACGTGGAACACCATGCTGCAGGCATATACCCAGCACGGGCATATGCGGCCGGCCCAGAAATTATTCTCCACGATGCCCGACCGGAATCTCGTCTCGTGGAACGCCATGCTGGCCGGATATTCCCAGAACAAGCTCTTGCGCGAGATTAAAAACGTCTTCCACGCCATGGTGATGAGCGACATTTTCCCAAACGAGATCTCCATGCTGTCCATGATTTGTGCTACGAGCCACTCGGGCAAGGTGAGCTCCGGATGCTTCCGCTCGATGATCGTGGATTTTGGGCTGGAACCATCCAAGCGGCACTTTTGCTGCGTTGTTGATATGCTTGGACGAGCTGGACACTTGGAAGGCGCTCACAGTCTCGTCCAATCCATGCCTTTTGCTCCCGATTCTTTCGAGTGGACGAGCCTGCTTGGAGCTGACCACAGCTCCACCACTCGAGAAAGGATTACTGCCCAGGAAGTTCTCGATTTGGAGCAACTGGATGGAGCTGGCTATGTGTTGCTCGCAAACACTGGTCTTAACGCAGGAGCTCATTGACTGTAGGAATCTGTTTTTTTGTCTGCTTGAACAAAAAAACGATACGAATTAATAGGAAAGAACAAATAAAACAATAGATAGAACCGTCTTTCTCTCGGCTTATTGTGATCATCATCATCATCGACTGCACCTCAACTTTCTTCTACGTTGCCTAAACCGCATGATGATACACATCCGTCGAGACATTTTTATCTTAGAGCGAAGGAAAAAAAAATCAAAATGGAGTAGCATACCTCTCTCAATTTATGGACGCGGGCTCGCGAGTAGTTGTATCTACATCACTCCCTCCCGATTCAGGCGAAGGCGAACCGTTTTCAATCTTAGCTTCCACTGGTTCATCTTTAGCTGGAGGTACTGGCTTGGTCACGCTAGTCGGTGGCGTCGCAGGGGTCACGGGAACATAGCGTCCTTCAATAAAACCTCTGTCGTTGAGCCCACTAACAAACCGGTACGTCACCTGAAGAGCAAAACAGTCATATCAGAAAAAAAAGAAAAACAGAAAAAAAGAAAATAGAAGAGGAAAACAAATCCACTAGCATGCCTCGCTGACTGAATAGAAAATGTATAATAATTTTTAGGAATCTTTTCAATGTATACCCTAAAACTACCTTATCATTTTTTATTTTGATTATTTTCTGAAATAGTTTTGTGACATTATTTTGATCAGTTGTAGCATTTTAATTTTTTGCTAAAAATTAATTAAGTTTCATAATAAAATTAAAAAATATAGTAAATATTTACCTGCAATCACCGGTTAATGCAATCTTCAAAGCAAACCTTTATTAAAACCTTAATCACTCTAGTATATGCAGGATGCAGGAATCGCTGTAAACCCCGTGGAAGGTAACATATTCCTTCGCAATCTCTAGAACTTGGGCCGAAATATTTTTTATTTCTAGGTACTATGAAGATCGTTCCTCAAAATCCCAAGCGACCGATCATGGGACCGAAACGGAAGATGATAGAAAGTGCCCCGCTGTGGCTAAGTTCTTTCACAAAATCTATTGGCCCGTTATTCCCATGAAATTTAGTAAGAGGTGTGCTAGCTATAAGACATAACCTAATGACTGGAAGAGGAATTTGATTGGAATTCAAGGCTCGTTCCATATCCTTCTGGAAACACAGGTTTCCACACCTCTCAAGTCAGTGGGCTCTTGGAGTCTTGCTCGTTCTCACTAGAGCCTGCCTGGGGCATCAGAGTTGCCTCAAGCTTCTCCAAAGCTTGAATCACTGGAGGTAAGAAGACTGTTGGCTGTCTGGGACTAAAGCTCGTCACAGCCAGAAGAGCTAGTTTTCAATGCAGATGAATTAGACGTTGTGGCCATGGTCTCTTGCTTCTTGCTCTTGAAGGAGCTCAAGCTACGCGGGGTTGAGAGCTTGACAAACGCTGGGCTCTCGGGCTTTCTATCCAATTGCCCGCTGCTTACGAAGCTCAGTAGGGCTAGAGGTCAGTTGTAATCACCTCCTCCTCGCTGACGCATTTGAGCTAAACCTTTTGCTGAATTACTGTTGAGGCCACAACACATTCTGCAGCTTGAGTGCGATGGCTTGCAAGTGGGGATTGTGTTGTTGAGGCTCCACATTCATTGTGCATATATCAGCTATAACAATTCTTAGGATCTGCAACTGTACTGAAAGATGACCCTTTTACATGATAATGTCCACCCTTAAGTGCGAAACCTTTGGAAAAAGTGTAGGCTGGAGTCTGGCAAATATTTATTTGTATTTTATACATAATATTTTTGAGCACTCAAAGAGCAAGAGCACGCAATCTTCAAAGCCGCATGAAACAAAGAGAGTATATCTCATCTCACTTGAGAGAAGTAGAGATGATATGCTCTCATTTTTTAGAATAGGTCATGCGGCTTTGAAGATTGCGTGAGGGCTTTTCCCCTCCAAGCTCGAGAGTGACAACCTCAGGCACTCTACACTCCATCACGTATGACTTTGTCTAGAACACGCTGTCAGCTTGGTCAAAAGTTGGAGGTGGAGAAATAAGATGATTGAAAAGGTTTAATTTGAAACTCTCATAGTAGTTCATATATTTGTTTGAACTTTAAAGCTAATCAATTAAGCCGAGAGCGCGTTCTAGACCGTATGTGATGGAATAAAATAACATGGGAATACACATCTCACACATCATTCTCGAGCGATGGAAGGGAAAAGCTTTCATGCAATCTCCAAAGCCGCAGGAATTATTTGTCAAAAAGAGAGCAAACTCTTCCTATCTCTCACCGTTATCCTTCCAGCGGCGGGAGTCCAAGTCTTTCTTGTACCCGCTGTTTTGAGCTTCCTGGGCCTCGATCCGAAGCCTCTTGCTCGTCTGATCAACTCCTCGGGGCCCTTCATATCTTCTGCGGTTGTGGAATCGTTCCTGCGATGGGTCTCCGACGTCACAGCGAAACAAGCGATCGCGCTGCTCTCTTCCCTGGCAATCTCGGCGGCCTTGTGGACGGTGTCCACGGCCTCGCTGGTTTCCACCGCTGCTCGTGTCCACCGCGGCGAGGAGATTTCCAGGTGGGAGGCTCTTCACTTCAGGCCGAGGGTGTGGTTGGCGCTGCTCAGCGTTGCACTCTGCTCGTTGCTGATCCAAGCGCTTGAGTTTGCCCTCAGTTTGAGCTATCTTCACGACGAAGTGAACGTGATATTCTCGCTGATGGCTTTCGCTGAATACTTATCCATGGTGGCTTCACTTGCTGCTACTGTTGCGGTGCTGGATGGATTCGCTGGGGTGCGAGCACTCCGAGAAGCAGCAAGGCTTCTCCACCGAAATCTGCCCATGGGCTTGGCGCTGTGGGTGATGCATTACTTTGTGTTTGACGTGGGCGCTCTTAATAACTTAGCGGCCAGCACAAAGGAATGGTGGTGGATAGTGCTCTGGATCTTCACGGTGTCTGCAGGCTCTTTGTGGTGGTCGAGCGTACACGTAGCGTTTTATTTCTCGTGCCTGCCGGACGAAGAAATGAAACAAGATTATACTCCGTTGGCTTGAGAGACTCTTAAGCTGGAATGTTCTTTGAATGAAGTGTGTGGCAATTCCTTGCGAATGAAACAAAACCGAGTTTTACAATCTCTTTCGCAGATCATAGAGAAACGGTGCCTAGTAACATTTCCAGGAAGAAGTTGTTCGCAGAAGGAAGCTCAAGATATGGTGAAATCTAAACCTTGCAAAGTCATGCATCTTGATTGTACTCCTTTGGCTTGACCGCCACACTTTTTTTTATAAATTCCTCGCGAATATGACCGAGCTTTACAATCTCTGTCGCAGATCATACAGTACCTGGAAGTTTTTAGTAACAAAGATATGGCACCTCGAAATCTAAACCGGAAAGTCATGCCACGGAACCCTGTTCGCAAGTGGACTGCCTTGCCAGTTAAGTGGACGTCCTCCAAAATGCCAAGGGTAAAGAACAAAAGGAGAAAATAAAGCATTCAGCAAAATTCCATGTTTCGGGAGAAAAATAGCCCAAACGTACCTCTATGATCGAACCATCGCACAGCTGATTGTGACTAAAATCGCCGTAGATTGGTACTAAAGATTCTGTGGAAATGCTCGTGATTCGCTCAGCAGTGATCAAGAAACGACGCAAGTATTCTACGACAATGGAATCAATCCGACATCAGCAGTAGTCGACGGATAAAGTGCATAGCTTCCAAAAAGTGAAGCCACTTACCTTTCGTTGGTGCTCGCGTTGACAACTCAATTCTATTTTGCTGGAGAATGGATCAACAACGAGTTTGCGTTCACTGTTCTGTGACAATCCATCGTAAAGATCCAGAGTTGATTCTGACAAGCCTGCGATGTAGAGATTAGTCAATGGTCGGATATAACGCCGTCAAAAGGATCCCACCAAATGCCAAACAAATTCTGTCCAGCACAAGCTTTGCCGCGACTTGCATAATGCTCCTCCGCATAGAATCCACTGGAATACATGGTGAAGACGAATCGATCCTAGGAACAACATCAATGAACAGCAGGAAGAGAGAAAGAGACGGGAAAAACGTTTTAAGTACCTGATAACTAACGCTGGCCCAGATTATAAACTCCATAGCCTATAGCTCGCTCGTCTGTATTCAAAAGGAATGTAGCCATTAGTCAATAAGGAAAAACTCTGCGGGGAACAACAAGGTTTGTAGCTATGTGGCTCCTTGCCAAACTCCAAAATAGAAACTCGCTAGAATTCAAGTACCTTGTGCTCGCTTCCAGCATAGCCGATTGAGAATATGGATCACCACCAACAATGACAATGATTAGCAGAGGCCAGCCAGCAGCTACACATTGTTGAGCTCAGCTCCGCTCATTCCCATCCTCTCCTCCACCAAACGAATATTTGCCACGTATAATCTAAAACTTCCATTATGTTAGTTGCAGCACAAGAGAACCTCATGCCAATCCCGACAAGAGCTAAGTAACGAGTATCATTGAACAGTAGCATACACACAATATCTTACCTTGTACATACAGTCAGAGCACGTTAAGAGGAGGACAAGGGAAACGAAGGCTGCTCAGAGAGAGAGAGAGAAAAGAGAACTTAGTGGGGAATAGTGACCTCTAGCGGCTTCTGGCTGGAGTAGACTGGACACTATAGGGTAAGATCCTCTAGCTTACATACACCTCTCCCTTTCTCCACTTCAACCAAACAACAAACCCCCAGAAAGGAGCACCCAGCGGCAGGAAAAGCAGGCAGAAGTGTGTTATGGTATCAAAGAGAAAGGACCACAATTTGCCCATAGCTAGCATACCTATGTAGCTTCTCATTTTGTCGCGTATACTTCCACTCCGCCACCTCCACCTTTGAGGGACTAGACAAAGTCGCGCTCCTGTACAAGCGAAACAGTCAGCCAGCCACTGTAGGTAGTACCAGAAACTTTAAAGTAGGAGAACTTAGAAAAACGAGCAGGAGCTTGATTGAGAGAGGCATCACACCTAAGCCACGGTGAATCGATGGAGAGAACATTGACGTCATTCCGGTAGCGAGAACCTGCGAGTGAAAACACCAGTTTTAACTTAACTCAGAACGCGGCGCTCACCTCTTTAAATAAGTCTTGGCATTAGTCACCGAGAACATCCTGTGCACTGCAGAAAACGAGAGCGGTAAGATGCGTAAGATTTTGACGCAGTCTTACCGACCAGGGAGAATAAACAAGCAAAAGTTAAGAAATGGCTGTACCTTGTAGAGGAAGCAGATCCGCCTTGGAGCCCGAAGTAGCAAGAGATCAAAGATCGTCTCAAAGTCGTAGCCACCAGCACGCACTTAATAAGCTCCACAAATTTAGTCTCGTGCACCGGCCGCACTAATCCCACGGGTGAGATTCCCGAATCTGGAAAACTCGTGAAAATCAGTGCTGCGCTCACCCAAAAAAAGAAAACATTATCCACCACAAAGAAAGCAAAGTTGGAGGGGCAAAAAGGCAATGAAAAGGAAACAAGTATTAAAATATGAACATAGTTCTAGCTCGAGGACCACACAGTGTAGTAGAGGAGCGGGAATATATCGTTCTCAGTCACTCACCACACAGGTCGAAATCTCTCATGCTTCCTGTATGAGCGATAGGAAAACAATTCATTTGATTAAATGAACTCTGAGGGGACCATGCCATAACTGTCAGGAGCCGGGAAGAAAAAAAGTAGCCATAACACTTTTTTTCCCGAGAACGAAAAACAAAAAAAACAAACCAGAAAAGAGAGAGAGAGAGAGAGAGAGAGAGAGAGAGAGAAACAAGCACAGCTCTGTAGTCAGGAAGACAGACAGGAAGAATATAAAAAGACCACACACACACAGAAATGAAGGAGGAACAACTATGAGAGAGAGGGGAGAGTGAGAAAGAAAGCAGCAACAACAGCACCACCAATGCATGGCAGCAGCGAAAAGGAGAGTGCTAAGGCTTCACTCGGGCTCAGGCTTGTACAGCAGAGAGCGCCTCACTAGTTCTTTGTTTTCTCCTTCTCTCTCTCCTTCGCTCTTATCGCTGCGCTGCCATTCTTTCTACAAGCACTGGCGGCTCTCTGCTGTTTTTCTGGGGCTACTGCATTGATTCTGGCCCTGATGGTGAAATCTGGAGGTCCTTGGCCTGAGAAAAAGTGAGTAACACCCAGGGCATGGCTGGAGAGGCAAGATTTGAAAAAATAAAATCAAAGTTTTACGCTTGCAGCACAGCGGCAGAGAAAAGTTCGCGAGGGGAGCCACTTGGTTCTAGATGACATTGCAAGCAGCAGGGAGGGAGCGAGGGGCTTACTTGTCTGTCGTCATCTCCGGTTGAGGTGGCCAACTTTTGCGTAGTCGCTGCTTGGATCGCTGCTTGGATCACATTGTCCTCGTCCTTCCCCCTGCACATGAATACAGAAAGGCTTTAGTCGTAGAAAAAAAGCTTTCAGAAAACTTAAGAAAGTAGAGAGAGAGAGAGAGAGAGAGAGAGAGGGAGAGAGAGAGGGAGAGAGAGAGAGAGAGAGTTAAGAGTGATGGAGCGGTGCTGCCGTGTTAGCCCGCCGCCTGCCTGATTGCTTCTCTTCTGCTGTAGCCTTAAAAGAAAACATCGAGGACCGACAGGCACTGAGTGGTGTTTTCGCATTCCCCCTCACATACTTTGGCAGCCAGCAGCGAGACCACATTTTGATCAGCGGATCTATCGACGGAGTAGCCATATGGTAGCTGTTTTGTCTCTTCAGGTCCGCTGTTGATTGATTGCCAACTGCGCGCTTGTAATGAAGAGGGACTTGTCCTCCAAGCTCGCAGCTCTAGCAGGGAAAATATCACCACGGAGTTTAGAATAAGTCCCGGCAGAGCGAGCAAACATACCGGCATTTGGAAGAAGAGAAAGAGGAGAAGGAAGAACACGGCACCGCAAAATGGGATGCTTCCTTCTCCTCTTCTGGACGCTGCTGCTCGGCTCGCTCCTTCTCGGTCAATCCGTATCGCCGTCGCCGGGAGCCAAGGCTTTGCTCGCACTCCTCGGCTCGGCACAAGGCAGCAGCAGGAGCGTACTGGAGTCGAGTTGGAATGCTTCGCAAGGTGATCCTTGCAGCGGTTGGATTGGTGTCGAGTGCTCTTCTTTGCGTCAAGTTGTCAGCGTCTCACTTGCTTACATGGATCTTCAAGCCACCATTCCTGCTGAGTTTGGACTTCTCACATCGCTGCAAACTCTCAACTTGTCCAGTGCCAACATATCCAGCCAGATCCCTCCACAGCTTGGAAACTGCACCGCTTTGACAACGCTCGACCTCCAGCACAACCAGCTCATAGGAAAAATCCCGCGGGAGCTCGGGAACCTGGTCAACCTGGAAGAGCTCCACCTCAATCATAACTTCTTGTCCGGAGGGATTCCTGCGACTCTTGCTTCTTGTCTCAAACTCCAGCTTCTCTACATCTCCGACAACCATCTCAGCGGCAGCATCCCAGCGTGGATTGGAAAGCTTCAAAAACTCCAAGAGGTACGAGCAGGAGGAAATGCCTTGACAGGTTCCATACCCCCTGAGATTGGCAACTGTGAGAGCTTGACAATTCTGGGTTTTGCTACGAACTTACTCACAGGCAGCATTCCATCCAGTATTGGCCGCTTGACGAAGCTCCGCTCGCTCTATCTGCATCAGAACTCGCTCAGTGGAGCGCTCCCAGCGGAGCTCGGAAACTGCACGCACCTCTTGGAGCTGTCCCTCTTCGAGAACAAGCTCACAGGTGAGATTCCATACGCGTATGGCCGGCTCGAGAACCTGGAAGCGCTCTGGATATGGAACAACAGCCTCGAAGGCAGCATTCCTCCGGAGCTCGGCAATTGCTACAACCTCGTCCAGCTGGATATCCCCCAGAACTTGCTCGACGGTCCCATTCCAAAAGAGCTCGGAAAGCTCAAGCAGCTGCAATACTTGGACTTGAGCTTGAACAGGCTGACCGGATCAATCCCAGTGGAGCTTTCCAATTGCACCTTCCTGGTCGATATCGAACTGCAGTCCAACGACCTGTCCGGAAGTATCCCGTTGGAGTTGGGCCGTCTCGAGCACCTGGAGACTTTGAACGTCTGGGACAACGAGCTCACTGGTACAATCCCGGCAACTCTTGGGAACTGCAGGCAGCTTTTCCGGATCGACCTCTCCAGCAACCAGCTCTCGGGGCCACTTCCGAAGGAAATCTTCCAGCTCGAGAATATCATGTACCTCAACTTGTTCGCAAACCAGCTGGTTGGTCCCATCCCGGAAGCTATAGGCCAGTGTCTCAGCTTGAACCGGCTTCGTCTCCAGCAGAACAACATGAGCGGGAGCATCCCCGAGAGCATCAGCAAGCTGCCGAATTTGACGTATGTAGAGCTCTCCGGGAATCGCTTCACAGGCAGCCTCCCTCTGGCCATGGGAAAAGTAACCAGCTTGCAAATGCTCGACTTGCACGGCAACAAGCTCTCTGGAAGCATCCCGACAACGTTTGGTGGCCTCGCCAATCTCTACAAGCTCGACCTCTCCTTCAACAGGCTCGACGGCTCAATTCCTCCGGCACTAGGCAGTCTCGGCGATGTGGTGCTTCTTAAGCTCAACGACAACCGGCTGACGGGATCGGTCCCCGGAGAACTTAGCGGGTGTTCCAGATTGAGCTTGCTCGATCTCGGTGGCAACCGTCTCGCTGGAAGCATTCCTCCGTCTCTAGGAACCATGACCAGCTTGCAGATGGGACTTAATCTCAGCTTCAACCAGCTCCAGGGCCCGATTCCGAAAGAGTTTCTCCACCTATCGAGACTCGAGTCTTTGGACTTGTCCCACAACAATCTGACAGGAACTCTAGCGCCGCTCAGCACCCTGGGCTTGTCGTATCTCAACGTTTCCTTCAACAACTTTAAAGGCCCGCTGCCCGACTCCCCGGTTTTCCGAAACATGACACCCACGGCATACGTTGGCAACCCGGGACTTTGCGGGAACGGCGAATCGACTGCATGCTCGGCCTCGGAACAACGGTCACGTAAGTCGTCACACACTCGAAGAAGTCTCATAGCTGCCATTCTCGGGCTCGGCATGGGACTGATGATACTGCTCGGCGCATTGATATGCGTCGTCTCTTCGTCCAGGAGGAACGCCAGCCGGGAGTGGGACCACGAACAGGATCCACCCGGGTCCTGGAAGTTGACCACCTTCCAGAGGCTCAACTTTGCACTGACTGATGTCTTGGAGAACCTCGTCTCGTCGAACGTCATCGGCCGCGGGAGCTCGGGAACTGTCTACAAATGCGCGATGCCAAACGGAGAAGTTCTCGCCGTGAAGAGCCTGTGGATGACGACTAAAGGCGAGTCCAGCTCCGGAATCCCGTTCGAGCTCGAGGTGGACACGCTGAGCCAGATAAGACACCGCAATATCCTTCGTCTCCTCGGCTACTGTACAAACCAGGACACCATGCTGCTGCTGTACGAGTTTATGCCAAACGGCAGCCTTGCGGATCTTTTGCTGGAGCAGAAATCTCTCGACTGGACTGTCCGCTACAACATCGCTCTTGGCGCTGCCGAAGGCCTGGCATACCTCCATCACGACTCGGTGCCGCCGATAGTCCACCGGGATATCAAGTCCACCAACATTCTCATCGATTCCCAGCTGGAAGCTCGCATAGCAGACTTTGGAGTTGCCAAGCTGATGGACGTGTCTCGGAGTGCCAAAACCGTGTCGAGGATCGCTGGCTCATACGGCTACATCGCCCCAGGTTTGTACCACCTTTTGTTTTCATTGCCATCCGTGACTTAGTGCTTTACTCATCCCCTCCAGAATACGGCTACACCTTAAAGATCACCACCAAGAACGATGTGTACGCATTCGGTGTCGTGCTGCTCGAGATCCTCACCAACAAACGAGCTGTAGAGCACGAATTCGGCGAAGGCGTTGACCTCGTCAAGTGGATACGCGAGCAGCTGAAGACGTCGGCTTCCGCGGTGGAGGTGCTCGAGCCGAGGATGCAAGGAATGCCCGACCCCGAAGTCCAGGAGATGCTCCAAGTTCTCGGGATAGCACTGCTTTGCACGAACTCCAAGCCATCTGGAAGACCAACCATGAGAGAAGTGGTTGTTTTGCTCAGAGAAGTGAAGCATACCTCGGAGGAATCGTCGGCTCTCAAGGTGTCAACACCGGTGATAGCGAGCCAGAAAAGCAGCCATTCGGAGGTACTCGAAGTTTCATCGGTATAGAAACTAGAAACCGGACGAAATGTCCATATCCTGTAATTTTGGTTGCCTTCCTCTTTCTCTCCTTCCGGATAAAAGAACAAAAAAAAAAAAACACTTCTTCTGGAAACTTGACTGTCAGGAAGGACGTGAGAAATAAAAAATCACATTCGAAAGATAAATACATGCACCACACAGAAAAGCTGCAAAGAATAAAGAACATTCAAGCGGCAATCCGATCCATGATCCAATTTCCAGCGAAAAATCACTGGCGATGGATTTACTCGCGCGCTAAATCGCAGAACGGCCAGAGATCGAGCAAGCATGCGATAAGAAGAATCGCAAAGCCCTAAGAGAGTTACCTCGATCAACGAAGCGCCATCGCTTTGACCTAGCAGTACCAACGGTACTAAAATAAGAATATTCACGACAGTGAAAGGGTTTAAAGGGAGGAGGAACATACCGTCAAGTAACGGAATATACAGCTGGAAAGTGGATTGTGGGTTTTTCCGACAGTCTATGTCCGTGCGCGAGAGAAGAACCCTAAACGCGCGAGCGAGCACGTGTAGCGCTGCGGTGTAGCGAGCTAAATCTGCAAATGCGGCATCGGCTGCTGGCAAGGAGCAAGAAATTCGTCTTAAATCACCAGGTGAGTGTTCTCTCGAAGATTTCTAGCGCAAGGGAGGTTTTCTTCCCGGATTCGCTGACGAGTGACGCTGTGACAGGATACTACTCCATGGTTAGCATCAGAAGGCGTCGATTAATCGCTGCTTCCGCAGGTTAGCTCCTCAATCTCTCCTTTTTTCTCCATTCGTTTAGCTCATTTGACTTGTTTGCTTGCACAGTGATTGTTAAGCGACGGAAGAAGAGAACTTTGCGACCTTGTACTCCTGAAACAAGCAGCAAGGTATGGAGTAGCTTCGTTTCGCATGAAGTAAAGATCTAGGTAGAGAGGAACTTGGTCGGTCTTGTTTCTTATCGCGATTTGTTTCTCTTTTAGAGCCTTTTGGCGAAGTTTTCATCGCCTACTGGCAGTGGAGCGGGGAATGGTGCTCATTCTCGTTCTCGTAGTGCTGGTAAGCGATTGATCAAAACAATCACAACTATGTCGACATGCTTAAACTTTCTTCCTGGTGTGTAGAGTTTGAGATAAAGAAGCGAACTTACCAGAGGAAGAAGCACAACACCTTGTGCTTGCGAGGTGTTTATTTCAAAAACATGAAGTGGCAATCCGCGATCAAAGTCGGCAAGAAACAAGTGCACCTTGGAACTGTCTCCACAAAGGAAGATGCCGCTCATCTCTACGACAGGTTAGCTAGTTTTTTGGGTATAGTTTCTATATCTTCTCCTTCATTGCGTGAAGCCTCTCGCTAGTCCTTCTAACTTTGGCTTCGCAGGGCCGCTTACATGTGTGGAAGGGTCCCAAACTTTGAGCTCTCTCAGACCGTTAAACTCGAACTGGATGCTCTCACCTGGGAAGAGTTTCTCGATCTCACGAGAAAGGAGATTGCAAACAAGAGTAAGCCTCGTGTTTCATTGCCACTCAGGCTAAACTCATGTCTCTAGAGTTGCGAAGGAGGATGGAGGCGCAGCAAACTAGGCATGGCCAGCTGCAGCAGCAGCAGCAGCAACAGCAGGACGAGGAGCAAGAAGAGGCTTCCGTTTGTAAGTTTAGTGTCGAGGTACAAAACTATCAGTGCGAGCTGCTTGCTCCATCCTAGAATCATCTTAGCCACTCCATCTTTGTATTTTTACAGCATCACTCTTCGAAAGAAACTGCATCCACAGATCAGAGCGTCTAGTCTTTGAAGTTGGAAGCCAATACATACGAAGCTCCGTTCTCCGGATCGAAAGCGACGAGCTCATCAAACGCACACTTTCCAATCGAAACATCGCCGTGAACACCGCAGGAACTTAGCAGCGCCACTCGAGCATTGGAGTGGGGCTCGTAAGGCATGATATCAATGATCCCTTGAGCATCTTTCAAATGCCCAGCTCGGCCCAGTTGATCCGCCAGGCACGCGTAGTGCTCCATCTTGGGCGCCACCCCAAAGTCATCTCTCATGGAATGGAAGAAACTCCAGCCTCGTCCGACCATCCCAGCGTGACTACAAGCCGCGAGAACGCTCAAGAGCGTAACTTCGTTTGGAGCGCCACCTTCCAGACACATCAAGTTGAAGAGATGGATAGCCTCGCGCGGCCGATCGTTCTGGGCAAATGCTGCAACTATAGAGTTCCAAGTCACGGCGTTTCGCTTCGGCATTGCTGTGAAGACCTTCCACGCATCTCGAGCGCTGCCACACTTTGCATACATGTTTACGAGTGAGTTGCAAAGAGTAACGTCGTTTGTTTTGTCAATCACGCTTTCGGCCATGGTTTTGTGAACAAGTCGAGAGGTTGCCAGGCTTCCGAGGTTGGAGCAAGCGTCTGCAACGCTCACAAAGGTGACGTTATCGGGACGAACACCCGAAACGTCCATTGTTTTCAGCAGCCCAATGGCTTTCCTGCAGTGCCCATTATGGGCATATGCTGCAAGCATAGCGTTCCAAGATACCAGATTTCTCGAACGCATTGTTTCAAAGACCGCAGCTGCTTTCGGTACGTTGCCGCATCTTCCGTACAGGGTCACAAGTGATGTTCCAATGAAAACGTCTGACTCGAAGCCAAGAACTGTGACTTCGTCGTGTAGCTTTTCACTCAGAGACAATGAGCATAGCATCGCAGCAGCATCTAGGGCAGCCAAGAATGTGAGCTTGTTCGGCTGGAGGCCCTCACAGTCCATCGAGACAAAGAGTGTAATGGCCTGTTTTGCTAGCTCATTGTTTACAACTCCTGCGAGCAAAGCATTCCAGGACTGTAAGTTCACACACGGACATTCATCAAAGATTTCTTTGGCCTTGGAAAGATTGCGGTCTTGAGAAAAAGCTGCCACCATGGAGTTGAACGTTACTACATCTCGAGATGGCATTCTCTCAAAGGTGTCTTGAGCATTTCGCATGTGCCCTGCTTGGGCATATGTCGCTAAAATGGTATTCCACGTTTGAACATCCCTTGCCGGCATTTGATCAAAGACATCTCTAGCACAAATGCTCTGACCACATTTTCCATACGTCGCAATTAATGCGTTTCCCACGTAAACCGCCGTGCTGAAATCAAAGCTCGCCAACTTTTCACGAACTTCTTCCAATTCCTCGACAGTCGAACATGCATCGATTGCTGAAACGAAAGTAATTTGATCCGGCTGGAGATCCATTGCATGAAACGTAGCCAAAGCAGACGCGGAATCTCCATTTCTAGAATATCCCGCAATGACGGCGTTCCAAAGGGAAGAATCTCTCTGTGGAGCCAGGTCAAAAATGTTCTTTGCGTGATCCATATAGCCGCATTGTGCAAAAGCATTGACGAGAATCGACCAGCTAAAAGCATCCCGATCAAATATTATATCAAAGAACTTTTGAGTTTTATCCAAATGCCGATTTTGGGCATATGCGGCAAGCATTGTGTTCGACGTGACAGTGTTTTTAGTCTCCATTTTCTCAAACATATCTTCGGCTGATTCAAAATCCCCAGACTTACAAAACGCCGCAAGGATTGCATTAGATGCGATAAGATTCCTCTGTGGCATTCTATCAAAGACAAGCCTAGCGTCCTCAAGATGCCCATTTTGGGCATTTGCCACAAGAAGGATTGTCCACGAGAAGATGTTCCTGTGCCGGATCCTCCCAAACACGAATCGAGATTCCTCAATGTTCCCGCAGTTCCCATATGCCTGGACAAGAACATTTCCCAGCATTGTATCATCTCGATCATAGCCATTCTCTCGCAGAATTCCGTGAAGCCTTTTGATCCGGGCGAGGGACCGCTCTTTGGAGAAACTGCGAAGTAGCGAACAAAATTGATGCTGCTCGCGCATCCACTACCTAGGCGACTCTCATAAAGTTATAAACTTTTTCAAAAAGACACTTCAAAAGTTGCGCAGCCGGGGAATCGAACCCCGGTCAGTACCGTGGGAGGGTACTATGATACCACTACACCAGCTGCGCAAGGTTGAGGAAACTTAACCTTTTAATATCTAAGAGTCTTAGAACTCGTAAAAACGTCGAGTCAAACAGCCACGTGGACATATTTGGAAACAAGTTTGAATTGTTGACTGTAGAACAGACCAGGAACTTTAGGTGAATCATCCATTCATGTTGCCCATTTTCACTAACCTGGTTCCATTTGCTTCCATGGCTATATGCAGCAGACTATCATACCAAATGGCTAATTTGGAGCCATTTCAAATGGCATCACCGAAGGCCAGATTTAACATTTAAAATGTTCCATCTGTGGACCATTTAGTCTTGGTTTTACCATCCAAAAAATGGAAGGTGAATATATATGTCTTTTTGCGATTTGGTTATAATTTTGTAGAGAAAATGAAGAAATATTTTTCACGTTTTTTTCCATTTATGTTATCTGCTAAACAAAGCATACTCATTGAGTGATGGATATAAATGGGGATTTTTACCTTATTCTTTAAGATTTTCTGAAGAAGATATTTGTAATTGTGAAAATCGTATTTATAGTTCCCTTAATCAAAATCGAACTGGAAAATTATTCTTACTAGTGGTCTTATTAAAGTAACTGCATTTGTCTGGATACGTAGTAGTGTAACTCGAAGTGATATAGATAACGCTTTAAACGTAATATGGGATAAATGCATAAAACCTTATAATAGAGGTGGAACTGTATATTGAATCGCAATAAGAACTGAGCTATTTCTAGAGGTTTCAACACCTACTAGATGAAACTGTTAATAAATTTACTAAGAAAATTAAAAAAAAAATATTTTCATTAATTATGATTTTTAGTGTATGAATATTAATATAGCATGTGTAAAAGTTGTGTACTGACGTAACAGTATAATTTATAACTTACAAAAAACTGAATGATTTTATCCAAAAGATGGCAGCATTATATTAAAGTTTTATGCTGAAAGTGATTTCTGCTTATTTTACCCTTTTTACCTTTGATCTTATTAACTATGTGACAGAGTTTGAGAACATTCTCAATATATTATTTTTCTATGGTTGAAATTTAACCCAATCAATGGCTTGAATTATCATTTATATTCAAAAACTATTTATAATCTTAAACCTTTATATTTACTTTTTTATTAACTAAACCATACTTGTAGTTTTCAAATTAAAGGCGCCTTCGAATATCCCTCGCACATTTCTGCACGCTTAGGGTTTCCAGCGCGCTCGAGAATGAAGAGGATCCGTCGTCCGTTTCGTAGGGATTTATAGCAATGCGGCAGCGGTCAGGGAGTCACAATCTTCTCCCTGAATCCATGGCTCCTCCAGCACCGTGCGCGCGCGAGAAAGCTTGAATCCCTGCAAGAGGAGAAGGGAGAGTGTCTATAAGCATGTGTCTCTCCGGCAATGGCCTCCGTAGCCTCATCGTTGGAGTGGTATGGCTTGAGCGCGAGGATGAGAGTAGCAGCGCCGTCCAGGGATTTTGGCGGAGGAGGGCGGCGAGGATTTGGAAGCAAGAGCGTAAGGATCGTAACACGAGAATGCGTTGCGATGCCTAGAAATTTTGGATGTCCTTGTTCTTCGTCCTCCAAGGTAAGCTTTACATATTTTTTCTATGTTAGTGTGCTACTTATATTTCATTTCTTCCAGCTGCCACCATCTCGTTTTGTAGGTGACGAGCTCACGCTTAAGCGGCATTTGAGATCTAAGACTTTGGCATCCGGGAGTTCTAGGGACAAGGACAATGAAAACCGGCCATCTTTTCCAATTGCCAAGCCTTTCGAGAGCGTGGCGGAGTTTAGCGACAATTTCCTCGACCGTGTGAGTAGCTATATTTTCAGGAGGCTGCGGACGCTCTTTAGTCCGTACTTCCCGAAAAACTTCGACATTTTCAGCTGGCTGCCCGTGAAAATCCACTCGCGTCTCCACAGCAGCGAATATCTTGTAAGCGTCAGGTCTGGAAGAGATTTCTCTTGTCGCTCATCGTTTTTTGCTTTTGCAGGCTATTATTTTCGTGCGCGAAGCATTGATTTTTGGATTCTTTTATGTTGTCTTCATCAAAGTCGACTCCTTTTGTCGGTGGCTGAATAAGTAAGTTGTAAGTTTTCTGTCAAAGTTTTATCTTTTGCCAGTCCTTAGACGAAATTATGTTTACACAGGCTGTACATAAGGAACACAAAGCCGGAGCAGCAGGAGGTACAAAGTGAAGACTATGAAGACTCCAGCTTTACAGCAGTGAGGGGTCCGATCAAGTTAACAGTTTTGTTATGGGCTTCCACAAGATTGTGAGTGAACAAATCTCTATTTTTACTAGAAACAATTTTTACTAGAAATTGTTTTGCAGTGTCAACGTACTTACACCGCTCAAGGTTGGTCACTATGTGATCGGGAAAGTCCGAGCCATTGGCCTCGTTGTTGCTGTGATATGGTTTTTACTTCGCTGGAAGCGAATTATGGTTGATCATCTTGCTTCAAAGTCGAGAATTGATGCGGTAAGCTTCATCAGGATTGGACATTTTTTTAGCAGCTAATGTAGCTGTTTTGCTGCAGCCTCGTGTTGTTGCAATCGACAAGGTGGCTTCGTTGTTTCTATATTTTTTGGCAGCATCAAGTATTGCTGAAGTTTGTGGGTTTGCATTGAGCTCGTTGCTGGCTGTCGGTGGTATATCTGGTATTATGCCATCGTCGAATTTTTTTTATTTTTTTATTTTTTTGGATTATTTTAATCTTTTCGTTTTCTACGCAGGTTTGGCCGTCGGTCTGGCTGCAAAGGAGATTGTAAGCAACGTTTTTGGCGGGGCTATTCTTTTCATGACACGACCATTCGTTATTGGAGAGCGGATAAAGGTGAGTGACTTTACAGGCCACAGCTGGAAATGTACCAAACATTTGCTACACGCAGGCTGGCTCTTTCTCGGGAGAAGTCCAGGACATTGGCTTTCTTCAAACCAAGCTACTTGGTTTTGACAAAGTTCCCGTACTCGTTCCCAATCAAGCCTTTATCAACCAGGTGTGAATCATTCAGAAACTTAGAACTCGTACTTCTATCTCTCACTAGTTTCATCCAGCCATTGTTCTCTTCAGGTGATTATCAATTACTCCAGGGCAAAGGACAAGCTGCTTGAGGCAACATTTCAAGTCAGAAACCAGGACATCTTCTTGATCGAGAAGATAACTAACCGCGTTGTCCAGTACTTGCGGTGGCACAAGGAAGTCGACAAGGGAAGCCAGCCTCCAATGTGCTACCTTAAGTCCATGGGATCGCTCGGCCTCGACATAGGACTTCTTTGTATCATTCGAGCTCCGGTAAGTTCCACGCTAAGTGTTACTTTCTGTTCAAGGATTTGTTTTTGGTTTTCGTCGATCCAGGGAGGTCCATCTTTCTTCAAAGCGCAGCAAGAGATTTTGATTCAAGTAGCTCACATAATCACTGAGGAGGGGGCATGCTTAGGCACGAGTGGACCATTCATGCCTGTTGTTCCAGAGCAAACTCCTCCTCCCGAGGGGGAGCAACCACGACCACCCGAGACCAAGATTTCATAGCTTTCAACTTTTGTACACTGTAAATAGGAAGTTATATATCATGCGAAATAAATAAACTGGTTTGGTTTTGCTAATATAATATGCACATTTTTGTATTCACAATTTTTAATTAATAAAGAAACTTTATCACAATTAGGAATATATCACAAATAGCAAAAAGAAGCGTAGCTCTTCTCTTATCTTTTTTTATCTCTCGTTATCTCTTGTTCGCTCTATAAGAAGTTCTCCAAGGTATGCCTGGAGTTTAGAAACTAAACAAGCATGGTAAGCTGAAGAACTAGCAAAACCTAGTTTTAACTATCAACTATTCTGTCCAAATGACAGGTAAAGTGATTTCCTGCCATTCAAAGCTTACTTTACAGTTTGTGTGTTGTGTTCTTACAAATGCTCAATCAATAACAGCACACACTAAAATGCTCCTCATGGAGAAACACTTTCAAATTGCTGTGAGAATCTCATTCACAATGGTGTTTGTTGTTGTTGTTACAAAAATCGCTTATGAGATCATTCTCAAGCTTATATTTGCAAGCCTTTCAAAGGCCATTCCAAGATAGTGTTAATGTTGAAGGAGTTGGAATAAAAAATTATATATAAAGATTGTATCTATGAAAGATTAAGTAAATGTTTACTTTCATGTGATTTTCTAATGGGTTATGAAAGAGAAGGATTTGTTATGGATAGTCAAGTTAGTACTATAATAAAAAAATTGACTAAAATAGCTTAGTTAGATAATATAAATAAAATTTAATAAGTCTCCATAGGTCTTAAAAGTTAAATTAATTAAATCAGATATTGTTAAATTTTGATGATATTTTATAATTAATATATTTTTATTTAAGCATTAAAGTCATGATTTATGTAACTATATAAATAAAATAAATATCTTAATAATTTGTTATATTGTAAGGTGATTCTTGGATAAAGCCCTAAAAATTTCTTTACCAAATTCATTACAAAACATTTTTAATTCTAATAATGAACAATTAGAAAATCCATTCTTTTTTGTTTCAATCTTTATCCTTCTAAACCACTTTCAATTATATATTTAATAATTTTTTTACAAATAATGGAAATGATTAAGTTTGGTCTAGACTTATTTAGAGTGCGTTATTCTGCTCGGTGTGGACCCTTATCCTGCAATCAATCACAAGGGTTTCACAAAGAGAAGGCTGTTATACTAAATTCAATCGTATAACAATGTATATTCAATTTATATGGCATTTATGACATTTTGTGCAACTTATTTTAAAACCTTCCTGGATGAATTTATAAATATATAATATAATAATATATTATCAATTCATATTATATCTATCAGTTTAATGATGTTTTCTCTTTGATATACAAATATTTCTAAAAAATAAAAAGAAGAAATTTTAACATTACAAAAAAAAAGTTAAAATGTATAGGAGTATAATTTAGCAAATAATGCAACATTAAAATATTTCTTTACTATATTCTTGATTGAATGTTTAGTAAAAAGGATATAAATTTTATATTAGTAAAAAAAATTTTTTTTTTATGTTATTTTAAAGCTAAATATGATTGATGTCAATTACATTCAACTGAATTTTTTATTATTGTTATTCATATACAATTTAATGCACTTAATAAATAAAAATAGCTCAATTTTTAAAATAGCATGTGTGTGTAAAAATGGTTCATCATGGCAAAAATCTTATGTTCCAAATTACGGTGTTTACCAATTTCTTATGTATTTTTAACATCATTTAGATACTTTTATGTACTGCTCACAATTTATATACTCTTCCGAATGAATATTAATACTCTAGCATTTATATTCTCAAGTGATGCCTTTTCGATAGAAGAATAACACTTAATTAGTTTTTTTACATTTAATAGTTTTTTTTATTAATACTTTCAATTTCCTAAAGTATTTTCTATTTGTTTTATAATTAAAAAAATCTGTAAATTTTTTGGCAATATATAACTACAATAAATTTGTTTAAATATATGCAAAATGGAAACAATGATATATGAGATTAAATATAGAAATCAATTATTTATTCAATATTGAAATTAAAACTTATAAAATAATATATTCATATATGCCAAAACTAATATTTAAAAGACATGAAAACTTTTCATTTCATAAAATACTCATAAGTGTATATTTATGTTAATTTTTCACAAGTTTATTATAAAAGTTAATAATACTAATTATTTAATTATACTACAATTCATATTAAAAGCTGAAAATTCTGGAAATATATTATCAGTTCTTAAAGCCTATCACGAACTACAAGAAATATTATTGTGAAGTACAAGAAATAGTAATGAAAAAGCTCCACACGAGAGAATATTCTCGGAGGTCTGGCGCATGTTTGCCCTCTCCCACTCGGGGAAAGGGTGGAAGCTGTGGATGATGACGATGAGGTCGCTTTGATCCTTCACTTGGGCTGCGAGGAAACACATGTAAGTTTCGTTTCGTGCTTTTCTTCTCTCCTGCATTGGACTCTCTTGGCATTTCTAGATTCAAGAGAACGAAGCTCGTCCCCTCAAGGAAGAAAGGAGGAAAATTTTCTTGACAAGAAATGTGGCGCCGTGCTTTCGATCTCTGCTCGTGGATCTCCAGAGGGATGGAAAAGCTCGCAAGCGGAAGCTCTTCAATCGGGGCAACGATGGCTCCCCGACAAACTCGAAGGTTCTCAAGACTTTCCAGCGGCGGAAGAAAGCCGAGAAAGCCACAGCTCCTCCTCCGGCAGAGAATCCATCGCCAGCTTCTTCGATCAAAGCGATCCGATATGATCGCACACCACCACCATCTTCTTCGTGCTCGCGCCTCCGAACCGGCGGTTTCACATACCGCAAGGCCTGGGTGTTTGATCTTCCCATCCTCAAGGAGCCGCGAGCTCTGGATCTCCTCTCACGCATGGGACTGGAGAGATTCGCGAGGGAGCCAGTGCCAGATCTAGACAAGCCCCTCTGCGACGAGTTCCTCGCCACTTTCGACGTCAAAGCCGCGAGTGGGATCGTCCAAGGAAAGGTGGTGGTGGTGGACGCCGCGAGCGTGGCCGAGGCTACCGGGTTACCGCTCGGTGACGATGAGATAACGCCGGGAGCTCCGAGCAAGGCCCAGGAGCTGGCGCTCCGAAAGGTGATGACCGATGCCAAGGAGAAGAGGACGCGGGGCTACTCGATCCAGCACTTGGCGTTTGGAGATCACGTCCAGGAGATGCAAGCCATCGCGACCATGCTCATGGCCAAGCTCGAGTGTAAGAACGATTCCTACCATCTCCTCTCGGCCGAGATGGTGCTGGCGCTGGACAAGTCGTACAGGATGGGAGTTAAGATGCGATGGGCCGAGTTCCTGGCGAGGATGATCGTCCGTGCCACGGCCACTATTGCCATCACCAAGAGCAAAGGAAGGAAGCTCGCGTTTGAGTATGGAGAGTGGCTGACCAAGATCATCAGGAGCAAGCTCGGCGAGAGTGTTGAGCCTCGCGGTACGATGACGCTGTCAAGAGTTTGCGTAGAACAGGGAAGAACAAGCGAAGAAAAGCAAGGAACAAGCGAAGAACAGCGAGGACAACAAGGAATCAATGAAGAACCGGGAAGAACAAGCGTGGAAGTTGAAAGGGATGAAGAAACACTCGAAGCTAACAAGAATGGTGACGCTCAAATTCTCGAAGTTAAGGAGAATGGTGACATCAGGAACGAGGACCTGGAAGCACACTCTCAAGAACAAGCGATGGAGATCGAAGTCCAGGACGTAAACACCAGAAAAGAAGCGGGAGAAGATGGATCGAACGCTGTAACCGAGGATGGAGCTAGCGGTGACAACAGGAACGTGGAGCTCGAGAACCTGGAAGCACACTCTCAAGAGCAAGCGATGGAAATCAAAGTCCAGCCGCCACAGGAGGACGTAAACACTAGAGAAGAACTGGAAGGAGATGGATCGAACGCTGGAAAGATGCTAACCGAGGAACGAGACGCTGGAGCTAGACACTCCGTAGAGAAACAAGACGCTGGGGTTCAAACCATGACAAGCGGGGACGATCTAGTGACACAGCAAAGGCTGGAGATTCGACGTCTACGGGCGGAACTGCGAGAGATACTACGCCGAGACACCGAGGCGAGGAAGATGATATCCTCCATGAAGACTGCCTACGTCAAGTTCAAGCAAGAACTCGCGGAACTGAGAGCCAAGACGACACTGCCAGAGCCTACGAACGAGTGATCTAGCTAGCGATGCAAAAATCAATACACGTCTTAAAAATCTTCCAAGAAACGACGACAAAGAGACGACTCTTCCTTCTCTCCTCTCTCTCGTGATGACATGGTAGTGCACTGGACAAGGAAGTAAAAATTCTCTGCGAGAACCCGGCTATGCCTGACCGACCAAGAACTAAGAACTCTCTCTAGCTACGACGGCTGTGATATGACGACGAAGACGAACCAAATGCCCCCGTGTGCTCCCCTCTCTCCCCCAACTTCTCATTCTTTCTTACCGTCGGCTTTCACGTCGTCGACCGCTGGCTTCTCCTTCTCGTCGTCGTTAGCAGCGGACTTGACAGGGTCGGACGAGAGATCCTTCACGGACAGCTTCTCCAGCGTCTCGGCCACTTTGGACTCCTCCTTGCTCTCTTCTTCGGTCGCCTTCTTCTCGCCTTGCTCCTCAGTGCGCTCCACGTAGATGTCCTTGAATCTCTGGGCATCTGGAAAACCAAACGATTTAACACGTCGAGAAAGAGAAAGGTGGTGTGCTTACTCTCGACGCTGCCGAATCGGACACACAAAAGCTCCTTCTTCACTTCGCCGTCGGAGTAATCCATCGCGTGCCATACCCAGCTCTTGTCACTGCCAGCATGCTCTTGCAAAGTCATTCCAGGAACCACTAGAAAAGGAAATGAAGATCAGTACAATGCAAGTTCCGAGTTTCTTCCACTCACAGTAGTGATTCGCACAGATCTTCAGCGTCTTGTTCTGTCGCATCAGTACTCTCGTCTTGTTCGTCTCCTTGTCCTTCAAAATCTTGATCACGCCGGTCCCCCGCTCCTTCCACACCTGATCATACCTGTACAGCCTCGCCTTCCTAGAGAAAAAAAATCCATCCTTTCACACAAAGAACTCACAAATCCAAGCAGATCACTCACATATCCAGTAGCACCTCCTCATTCTCCTCCCCGGTTTTCACAGCCACTTCCTCAAGGCGCACAATCGGCGCGATCTGTGCGCCAGTGTCCTCCTCCTCCCCGGCGCCAGCGCCGTGCTCCTCCGCCGCTGCCACAGTCTCCTCGTCTTCCCGATCGGCCATCCCGGATCTCTCGAGCTGCCCTGCCGCAAAAAATCCACAAACCCTAGCAAATGGAGCAATCCCTAGAGCACAAGACAAGAATATTCTTTTCGTACGGCAAATGTGCTGGGTCGTTCGTACCATCCCTTTACGAAAAGAGATCTTTTGACCATACTCTGGTTGAATGATTCTACCGTGTCCTCGAAGTCCTTCTTCCAAAAGAAACTTTGATCTAGCGACCGCGAAAGCGATCATCTATAGTTTTCTGGATAGACCCGGCGACCTCCAAAATCTCTCTTTTGCAGCACGAATTTGTTTCTTCTCTGGAAATCCCTCCACAGCCGCAAGGTATCGCTTTCATCACCCACCGAGAAGAATTCTATGGAACTCGTTCGCGATTCAAGCACCTTGGGCTGTGAGACAATGGTTTCTCTATTCCGTTAGAGGACTTGTCTAGTTACCAGTCTTTTTCTCCAGTTCTTCGTGGTTTCCTCCAAGCTGACCTTGTCAAAAGCTCAAAGAGCGCCTACAACTAGTGCCTGACTTTGAAGAAGCGATGAAAAGAAAGAAGAAGAAGGAGAAAAAAGTGGTGAGATAGCAGCTTTTCTGGAAATTCCACCTTGAATCGATCGTGGATGAAAGCCTCACGCGGGTTTCTCGTTGCTTGCCGAGCAATCAAGTCGAGAGAGTATATATACAGACGCTTGATTTCTCATGAAGAGTCACTTCTCGAGCTGCTCGTTGGTTTCTCTTTCTCTCTTGCGTTTGCTCCTTGGCTTTTTAATCGGAAGGAGTTATAGCATTTCTCTTTGAGTCGGGAAGAGGCAATGCAGCTCGAAGGATGGATGCTCGTTCCAATATTCTCGGCAATTCTGCTGAGTTTTTCTCTTGCTTCTCATGCCAATCCGGTCGAGATAGAAAGGTTCTACGAGTTTAATGTAAGTTTGTCAAGTTGTGTTGTTCTTCGAGCTCTTGAAGTTTTCTCATTGCAGATCACAAGATCGCAAGTTACTAGACTCTGCAGTACGAAGAACATCGTTAACGTCAATGGACAGTTTCCGGGGCCCGAGATTCACCTCGATGAAGGAGACATGCTCGTTGTCAAGGTCAATAACCAGGTCCCGGAGAACATCACACTCCACTGGTAAAATCTCGTTTTCAATCCCATAAAAAACTTTTCTCACGTACTCCATCGTGTTCTTGCCAAATGCTCGGTTTTGATCCAAGCACTCCTGATTAAAAACTAGAAGAAACGAAGAGGAGTAGCTTGCTGACGTGACTTTGACGCAGGCATGGAGTTTTCCAGAATCGAACTGGCTGGTACGACGGCCCTGCTTATGTCACGCAGTGTCCAATCCAATCTGGAAGCTCCTACACGTACAAATTCGTGATAAAAAACCAGCGAGGAACTCTTTGGTGGCATGCTCACATTCGGTGGATGAGGGCCACAGTCTATGGTGCGCTGATTATCCACCCAAGGCCTGGATCGAGCTTTCCATTCCCAGCACCAGACGCTGAAGTACCAATCCTCCTAGGTAAGGAAGAAGAGAAGAAAAGCTAACTTAAAAGAACTTACAGGTGAATGGTGGCAATCGGACGTCCAAGCCGTCTTGAATCAAGCTTTAGCATCCGGCGGTGGTCCAAACGTCTCGGATGCTTTTACCATCAATGGCCTCCCCGGGCCTCTCTACAATTGCTCTGGAAACGGTAATGAAAAGAGTAAATTTTCTCATGTCAGACTCCAATTTCTCCTGCCAGATGTATACGCACTCGATGTGGAGCAAGGGAAAACGTACCTCCTACGTATCATAAATGCTGCGATGAACACCGATCTCTTCTTCGGCATCGCCAATCACAAGTTGACGGTGGTGGAAGCCGATGCCTCGTATCAACAGCCTTTTGAAACCGACTATATCGTCATCACTCCCGGACAGACGACAAACGTACTCTTCACCGCGGATCAAACTCCCGGCCAGTACTTCATGGCGGCCTCGGCCTACGCAGCCGCAGTCCCCCAGAATCCATTCGACAACACGACCACCGCCGGGATCATCAGATACAAATCGTCTCCTTCGTCTTTCTTCTCGGGGCTGCCAAGGCTCCCTGCGTTTAACGACACGAGAAAGGTGGTGAGCTTCAACAGCAAGCTCAGAGGCTTACTAACCGAGGAGCTCCCAACAGTACCCGTGAAAGTCGACCGGCACTTGTTCTTCACCGTGGGACTCAACCGTGAGGATTGTCCGAGGGGAGCTCCAAACTCGAGCTGCCAAGGAAATGGGGGAAGATTTGCCGCGTCCATCAACAACATCACTTACGTCTCGCCGAGAAGCTCCATTCTCGGTGCTTACTACACCAACAAGCTGATGAACGTCTTCACCAAGGATTTCTCGACCAAGCCGCCGGTTAAGTTCGACTACACTGGAAGGCCACTGAGGAACTTAAACTCGAAGAACGGGACGAAAGCTCGGATCATACCTTACGGCAGTAGCGTGCAGATAATTCTCCAGGGGACGAGCCTTGTCAACGCTGAAAGCCATCCAATTCATCTCCACGGCTATGACTTCTTCATCGTCGGCCAAGGCTTTGGAAACTACAAGAAAAAGTACCAAGCCAACTTCAACCTGGTGGATCCTCCTCTTCGAAACACCATCTCGGTTCCTCTCAAAGGTTGGGCAGCTATAAGATTGATAGCAAACAATCCAGGTTAGTTTCCCCTTCGCCATCTTTCTTGAAATTCTCATACCTTGTTCTCCATTCGCAGGAGTGTGGTTTATGCATTGTCACTTAGATATCCACACTACTTGGGGATTGGACACTGTTCTCATCGTCGAGAACGGCGAGGGACCTTTGCAATCGATCCAGGCACCCCCACCGGATTATCCACGCTGCTAAAGAGTTACCACACACATTCTCCCATCCGATTTTTCTTGTTAAGTTTGCTTTGGACCCTCAAGCACAGAAACAAAGATTGTCAAACGGACCACAATAAAGAAATACTTGCAAACGAAGATCTTTTCAATCACGCGGAAACGAAGAAACTGCAAGCAAAGATAACGAAATGGAAAGCAAGCAAACTTGGCAAATTTACGTGCACAACTCTTTCGCTGTAGACGAGATCTTCACAATCATGACAAGCTGTGCTGTGATTGCATTGCCTCCATGAACCACGTTGACACGCATGAACTTTCTTGCGTGAAATGCCCAAATTGCGCATGCCCCTTCCAGGCAAATGCCGAAGGAAAAGAATTCAAGAAAGCCGCATCTCATCCCCCAATCCGACCGAAGGGGCCTTCTAAGCATAGAGTTCTCTAGAATCAATTTACAAAAACACCCACTTTATTATTCGAACTTGAGATTCCAAAACAAAACTCCAATTCCTTTTAAATCTTCCCTTTGTCCCTGTTCTTGGGCTTTTTCGACTATAAGCCCCCACGTTTGTGGGGACTGTGGTGTATGACTCTATCAAACAATCAATCGATCGATCGACCGCTAACCTCTCCAGGGCTGGTTGTGGTCTTTGTACAAACAAGCGAGCAATCAGCAAGGCGGCAGATCCTTGGGCGGTGGCTCCAAGCGCTGCCACTCCTCGGCACCGTCCTCCACAATAAACACGGTATCGAGCCCCGTCAAAGAATGCAAATCCAAGTGACAATGAAACACCCAAGTCCCTGGCAGCACGAGAAGAAGAGAGACGATCATCCCACGAAAGAACTCGCGATCAAACTCACCTGGGTTGTCCGCGACGAATCTGATCACCGCCCAGCCAGCTGCCGGCACCGAGATGGTGTTCCTCAGCGGCGGATCTACCAGGTTGAACGCCGGCGAGTCGCGGGTCCGATTGAAATTCCCCCTCCCGGTGGCCAGCACGTAGAAATCAAAGCCATGCAAGTGAATGGGATGGTTCTCGGGCGCCAGGAGCGTCGTCCCCTGGAGCACCACCTCCACGGTAGCGCCGTACGGAATGATCCTCGCCTTGGTCCCCTCGGGCGCGTTCTGGTTGGCGATGGCGGGGCTCGCGGTGAAGTTGTACGGACGTGGGAAGCGCGGGAAGTCGGTGGTATATGTGCTGGGATCCTCTCCGGTGTGGATGAAATCGAAGTGCTGCTTGAGAAACGCCGAGGAGGATCCGATGAAGCTGACGTTGTTCATGGAGGCGCCGAATCGCCCGCCGCCGGGGACCGGGAGGGCGCACGAGATGTTAGGGTTCATGGTTGGCGGGCAGCTCTGGACGTTGAGACCCACCGTGATGAAGAACTTCTCCGCGGCGGGCGATGCCGGGAGTGGAAACTCGCGGCGGACGCGATCTGCGCTGCGGAGCTTCGCCGCGAAGGCGTCCGAGAAGGCGGATCCAGCGGTGGAGGGCGGGAGCGATGGGAGGAGGAAGCGCGGGAAGGATTTGCGCGGGGGGGAAGCGTAGGAGAGGATGGCGGCGGTGGTGGTGTTCTGGAAGGGGATGAATGGCGGCGCGGAGGCGAAGGCGTGCGCCGCCATGGAGTACGTGAGGGATGGATCGCGGTCTGTGGTGAAGAGGGCGGTGATGGCCTGGCCTGGGGAGATGACCAGCGAGGGAGTGGTGAAGGGCTTCACGTACTGCGCGTCGGCCTCCACGATGGTGAGGGTGTGGTTGGCGATGCCGAAGAAGAGCTCCGTGTTCATGGCCGCGCTGATGAGGCGGAGGAGGTATCGAGTCCCGGGCTGGAGATTGAAGACTTGCGTGTCTGCGAAATCAGAGAGAGTTTGTGTGGGATTCTTTCCTTGTTCTTCTAGGAGTGATTCTCGCAAGAATTGTGGAGAGATTTGGGCAGGGAAAGTAGGAGCTTGGGATGATCTCGGCTCTCTTACCTTGTTGCGAGCACTTGCCATACAGCGGCCCGGGCAATCCATTGATGGTGAATGCGTCCGAGAGATTCGTCCCAGCGCCAGTTAGCATGGCTTGTCCGATCACGTCGAGAACGTCCGATTTCCACCACTCGCCTGGAGGTCACGGAGAAGATGAATTGCTGGAAACCCATGGACTGGAACTAGAATCTGACGATGTTCTTACCAAGCATGACGACAAGCTCTTTTGGTTTCGCCTCGCCTGGTCGCAAGAATGGAAAGCTCTGCTTTGGATGAACGATGAGAGCTCCATACACGGTGGCTCTCAAGAAAGTGATGTGCGCGTGCCACCACAGCGTGCCTCGCTGCCGGACGACATCGAATTTGTACACGAAGGATCTCTGGCGCTGGATCGGGCACTGGGTGATGTAAGCCGGGCCATCGAACCAGCCTGTTCGATTCTGGAAGATACCATGCCTGGAAATCCATCCATCAGAAGCGAAGAACACTTGAATCTTTGTGTTGTTCTACCAGTGCAATGTGATGTTGTGATTGATGAAGTTGTTTACTTTGATTTCCAGACTATCGCCCTCCTCGACATCGATTTGCGGTCCTGGGAATTGATTGTTCACTACGATGATTGACTTTGTGCTGCAGAGCCTCGTGATTTTCTTCTCGGTAATCTACCAAGAGAAAAGTTTTGCAGCTAAGACAAAATGGAGGAAAAACAGAGGATTCTTACATTGAATTCGTAGAACTTTGTTCTTGGCGGCGTTGCCTCGGACAATTGAGCTCCGATTGCCAACCACAAGAAACAAAAGGCCAAGCTCGCTTGCATTGCCCCTCGCCTGGCCATCGAGCTCGATCCAATCCTACAAACACTCCTGTGTGCTCTGCTTGTGCCAGAGCAATCAGACTTTTGGAGGATTTCAAGCCGATCGAGCAGAGTAAGAGGAGGGCGATCAAAAGTACGTGCTTGACACGCCAGAAAACAAGGATCTCTTAGCTAGCTCGCGTCTCCTCCCCTCTTACTCGCGGCTAGTTCTCCCCCAAAACCTTGTGCGCTTTCGATCCTTTTATATCCCGGACGATGGAATCAAAACGCCACTGTGCTGTGCTCGATGCTTCGGCACAGCAAATTCAACTCCTTACAGGCTAGCGAACAGCAAAACGAGTGGGGTCTCCAGGAAAATGGAGGGAGGAAAGAAGCACGACGTCGAGCTAGATTAAACAATTCTGTCGCGCCATCGCCATCGCCATCGCCATTGCTTTGTGGCTGGCTCAAGCCGTCCGATGGGCACGGATCCGACGGTGCGCTTGAAATCCTCCCATCCAACGGTGGAGTTCAAACCTTCCGTGTTGACGCCCTCAAATGGTGCACCCTTAGTGCGCGCCGCAGCCAACGGCTGGGATCCGCGTAAGACTGATATACGTGCTCGTCACCAAAGTGCCTGGATGGGATATAAATCTAGAAGCTTTGGAGGTCTGTCCGTTGAAAACCCACTTGATTGTAGAGCGCATTAAGGTTGTCTAGATTGGCTATATCTAAGGACAATGTCAGAGTAGATGCAATCTACCATTTGATAATCACTTATCAATGGTGTCAACCATGTAAGAATGTGGACATTTTCACGGCATGGTTGAAAAGATTTGGTCTTGGAGCCATGACGCGATCAAAAAGCGTGGACCCTCTCAAAGTCTTTACGTGAGATAATCCTCCAAGCAACCTTTGGGTGCCAAGACGGAGCCATCCAACCAAGCGCATTTCCACGACCACTTTGCGTGGCATCACGAAGTGGCCACGAGATTGTTGGTCGTGTGGACAAATCAAGCAACAGTCCGAGTGAGAATGACAAAGCGTTTTGGAGTTCTCCGATGGAGGTTTAGGTGTGTTTCTCAAGTGGGGTATAAAATTAGAATTCTAAACCAAAGAAATACTTGGTCTGTGTTCTTAGGTAGAATGTTCACGTTCTAGAGCCCCTTCTCTTTCCAGGTTCTCCAAATTCTTTAGTGTCGTGATCATCGCCAACAAGAAGAATCTTATGAGAAAGTTTTGAAATCAACTTCTGGAAAAAGCGAAGCTCTCAAGTTCTCATGCTAGCTGTGTTGATCGATCCGTGTTTGTCTTTGCCCGATGACAATGAAAATGGGACTTGGATCTTTTGTCTTGACCCACTTCGGACCCTTCAGGGCGACTTTCGAGGACGAGCTCTTGGGACCGAGCGTGCGATCACTTGAAAAGAGTTCTTTCCTTACAAGAGAAAACACGAAACTAATAGTACTACTATAAGCTCCAGGAGCGATTAAAGAAACTTAAAGGTCCTTGGTTGATAATATGGCTTTTGATGGATAGGTTTATCCTCTACGTAAAGAAATCTGTGATGAATCTAGCTGGTTTTTGGATTGGTGGATTGGTGGCTGGGATTGGTATGTTCAACCTCAAGTGTAAACTATTGCATTCCTGCTTGTTGAAACGGGGTTCACAGGGATGTGATTTGTCCCTTGTTGGATGCAAGAAAATCGGCAAAAATAAAGTCGGTGGCCAAGCTTGTTTCAAATATTTTTTTGAAAAAAAAAATTCCCACTTTTCTATTTCTGATCCATGGAATAGTTTTGCGGGTGATAAAGGGTATGATTTTCAAATTTTTGGGGGACAGCAAATGAGATGCCTGGTCTCCATCACGAATCCGAGGATCTTTTGGCGAAACAAGTCCGGTCCTGCAAAGGGTTGGCTTCCGTCCGCCAAATCCACGCTCACATTCGCCGCGGAATCTTTTGCTCCAGCACGTACCTCGCAAATCTCCTCATTGACAGTTACGCCAAATGCCGCTGCCTGGAAGAATCTTTGGCGCTGTTCCACAGTGGGGCTTTCTCGCGCAATGCTTTCTCGTGGAATATACTCATCACGGCATATGCCCACAACGGGCATATGGACGAGTCCCATGAAATATTCGATTTGATACCCCAACGCAACGTGGTAACGTGGAGTGTGCTTGTTACCCAATACACCAAAACAGGGAATCTTGCAGAGGCAAAAAGAATCTTTCATTTGATTCCGGGAGAGTGCGTTATTGCCTCGACTGGTATGCTGGTAGCATATGCCCAGGGTGGGCATCTTGATGACGCCAGAAGGATATTCGATGGCATGTCGTGTCGCAGCGTGGTAACGTGGAACTCGATGGTGCAGGGATATTCCGACGCAGCAAACGTGGAAAGCGCCAGGGCTTTGTTCGACAGGATGCCGGCGTGGGATATTCCGTCGTGGAACACCGTGCTCCAGGCATATGCCCAAGCCGTAGATGCCGAGGGAGCTTCCCGAATATTCCAGGCGATCCCGGAGCGCACAGCCGTTTCGTCCACCGCGATGATCAAGCTGTGGGCGCAATTAGGTCACCTCGATCGCGCCTTGGCGACGTTCCAATTCATGCCCGATTGCGACATTGTGGCCTGGACAGCGATCCTTGCCGCCCACGGCCAGAACCAGCGATTGGAGAGCGCGCACAGGATCTTTGCACTAATGCCCCAGCACGATGGAGTTTCTTCCACTGCGATGCTCTCGGCCTGTGGAGCGAACGGGGAAACCATCCTCGCTCAAGAGATGTTTGAGAAGATTCCTGTGAAGAACGCAGTGACCTGGAGTGCGATGATCGGAGTCTACTGCGCAAGCTACCAAACTGACCGTGCTGAAATGGTTCTTGAAAAGATGCCTTACCACGGAGTTCTCGCGTGGACAAGCATTGCTCACGCATATACCACAAGAGGGCATCTAGTCGAGGCAAAATCACTGCTAGACAAGGTGCCCTCTAACAACACAGTGGCATCTACTATGATGCTTGCGGCTTATTCGAATGTCGGTCACCTTTCTAATGCCAAAAGTGTGTTTGATTCTATGCAAGAACAGGACTCTGTGACGTGGTCCGCTGCAATTACTGCATATGCCCAAGCCGGGCATTTGAAAGAGTGTGTAGATATTTTTCGGAAAATGGTTCTTGCAGGATTCGATCCTCGAGACATTACGTTTACTTGCGTGCTCACCGGGTTCAGCCACGCTGGGGCCACCGATCGAGCTCGAGAGTTCTTCCACATTATGTGTGGTGATTTTAGAGTTTGTCCGAGGATTGAGCACTACTGCTGCGTGATTGATCTCTTGGGACGTGTCAAGAGGCTGGACGACGCCGAGGAGCTCGCGAGAAACATGCCGTTTGAGTCTTATGGCCTTGCATGGTCGACGCTGTTGGCCGCTTGCAAACTTCACGGAGATTCTCAGAGGGGAGCTCGGGCGGCCGGAGAGGCCATGGATTTGGATCCCAAAAATCCATCTCCATTTCTTCTCTTGTCCAATATGTTTGTAAGTTCTGAGACCCGAGTGGATGATAATGACCCAAGAGTCCAATCTTTTGCTACTTTTTCTTAACACAGCTTTTTCTCTAGCATAGCATGACACGAGAGAATCTATAAAGCAGCCAACAATGTTGACACGAGTTCAACGATCGGGAATGCTGCGACCGTTTGATCCAAACTTTCCTAGATTTATTTCAAATGATTTAGTGTTCTATTGTACCGTTTGCCCAAGACCTGTCTATTCGGTGTGGTTCTTTTTCAAGTCTTGCTGAGGACTTCGGATTCAGGCCCTTTGGGTTGGAAGGTTTGCTGGGGAAGAACTTTTGGGTTTGATGACGACTAGGCAACGAAAATCTTGTATGTATACGTAAGGTAATGGAATTCTTCTTTGAGAAGAACTTACTCAAGAAGTTGGTCCACAGATCTCAACGTGCTTTCTCTTTTCTTTGACTTTCTCTTTTAAACTCTGGGTTTAAACACCCGATCATTGCATGTACCCACCTAAAATCATTCCCCTCGCTTGCTTGCATCTTAAAGCAACCTGAAGGGAAAGAAAACTAAACTAAATCTTGATATAAGATCTTCGCTGTGATGATCAGAGGCACTAGCTAGCACTGTGGATAATCATCCGGCGGTGGAACAATCGATTGATCCGGTCCTACGCCATTTGTGACAAGAATCGCAGTGGCAAGGCCCCAAGTTGTGTGGATCTCAAGGTGGCAATGCATGTACCACACACCTGATCAAACAGCATACGTATAAGTATAAACTCTCTTTAAAAGGAATATGATCTCTATACCTGGATTGTCAGCTTTGAATCGAATCACGGCCCATCCTCCGGATGGAACACCGATCGTGTTCCTGAGAGGAGGATCAACCAGATTAAAGTGCGAGCTCTTGGAAACATCATAGTTTCCAAAGCCATAGCCGAGCACATAGAAATTATAGCCGTGGAGATGGATTGGGTGGTTCTCAAACCCAGCAATGTACGTGTTCTGGAACACAATCTGGACGTTGGATCCGTACGGAATGACCGAGATCCTGGTTCCCACCTGGGGAGCCACATTCTTTAAAGAACCCGAGCCCTGGTCAGTGTAGTCAAAAGGGTTGACCGGCGCGACCGGGAAGTCCGTGGAGTAGATCCCCGGGACATTCCGATAGTAGGCCTCCATGAGGGACATCTTGGTCGGGAGAGCAAACGAGACGTTGTTGATCGAGGCAGTGAAGTTCCCATTGTCTGGAACGACAATATGATTGTCCATTGTATAGAGAATTGTCTCGCGTACCTGGTGCTCGGCAAGCGCTCCCCGGCGAGCATGGCTTGATTCCCAGCCCGATAGCGAACAAAAACTCCTTGTCCACGGTCTGCGGGACGTCAATCTTGTGCTGCGAAGATGCCAGGCTCCGCAAGCTCCCGGAAAATCTAGTCGCGTAGCTTGTGTCGTTGAAGAAGGGCTGGATCGGAGTCTCGGGCGTTGCAAACGTGGAGGATTTCATGTCGCAGGCGATGTACTCGAGCACAGCGGTGGCGGCAGTGGGGGTGTAGGGGACGTGCTGCGCCGACATGTACGGCACCGCAGACATGAAGTAGCGTGCGCATGGCTGGTCCGCGGTGATGACTACGTTGGTGGTTTGCCCGGGCGTGAGGAGGATGGTGTCCGTGATATAAGGTTTGGTGTACTCGGCGTCTACTTCCACCACCGTCATGCTATGGTTGGCGATGGAGAAGAAGAGCTCCATGTTGAGGGCAGCATTGACAAGGCGGAGGAGGTATCTCTTGCCGGTGATGGCGTTCAGGGTGTACACTTCTGTGAGAGAACAAGAAGAGTGATGATATCCACACAGAGAGAGAAAGAGAGAGACATTCTTTCTTCAATTCTGGCTTACCTTGTGCTTCCGATTCCTTGTAGCTCGGGCCCGGGAATCCATTGATTGTGTAAGCGTCCGATTGGTTTGGAGCCCCGTGCCTCAAAGCGTCCTCCTCGATCGCTTGGATGTCGTTGTTCCACCACTCCCCTGTTAGAAAACAGAGGATTGTGTGTGAGAACTTTGTCCTCTAGATCTATCTACTCTTGCGGAGATGATCTCCTCCAATTCTCTCGAGAAATTTACCAAGGATGACAACTTGTTCTTCGTAGGGGGACTTGAATGGGTAAGGCATTGTCCTCCTTGGATAGATGACGATGGCTCCATAGACAGTGGCTCGAAGCCACAGGATGTGGGCATGCCAGAAGAGAGTTCCCATGTGTGAATCCACGGTGAAGTTGTAGAGGAACGATTGGCCTTGCTTGAGAGGACACTGCGTGACATACGCTGGGCCATCGAACCAGGGACTTCTAAATTGCCGGATTCCATGCCTGTGACAAAGCATTAGATCACAAAAAGTTTTGGAACTTTTGAGACTTTGGCTCTCGCTCATCACCAGTGGATCGACATCTTGTACTTCACAGTGTTCCTTACTGTGATGAGAAGCCTATCGCCGTCGTTGGCATAGATTGTTGGTCCCGGGAGCTCGCCATTGACAGTGATAATGTTCTTTGTTCTTCCCAGCCTCCTCACCATCGAGCTTACGACCTGGGCGGTGGCAATTCGATGAGCTCTGGATGCTCGAAACTGGCGAGAGCATGTTAAGCAAACTGACCTGGAAGTCGTAGACTTTGGTTATTTCATTCTGAGCAACCACCAGATCGAAGCTCCAGGAAGCGAGGAAAGAGAAAATCACAACCGCGCGGCAGGCACTCGAGATCATCGATTGCAATGCCATGATCCAGGACAGAGGAAAAGAAAAGAACACTCTATCTCTAGTCACTTCCTTCTCTTCTCATTTAAGTTTCTCCATAGGTAGGCAACTTGGAAGGACACATTGCAAGAGTTTTAAACGCAGTGTCAAGAGTGGAGCACCACCTTGAACCGCAAGAAAAAAAAACCAAAACCACTGTTGTCATGTAAGTTAGGTGAGTATGTCCAAACGGGCCCATGAGCTAAACAATCCCACAAAACGTAAGTCCCGTTAAACATCTTCCACTTCGCAGAGACAGGCTGTATAGTAGTCCCGAGATAGTCCAAGACTAGAGAGGAAAAAAACGGAGAAGAAGAAGAAGAAGAAGATATCTCTCCGCTTCCTCGGGCGAGAAGTTCTTGGGTGTGAGATCAGCGGAGTCAGGATTGAAAAGAACCCATCCCAAAAGTCCAAGGAATCGATCAAGGGAACTAGTCACTTATCGCGAGGAATTGGAAGAAGCTGGAAGTGTCCGAGTGGAAGCACTTAAAACTCGTATGGTGGAGACAAATTTGTGGGGATGGAGAATAGCGACGGCCAATTAACGTAATGCGGGTGGTAGCCCACTCGTACCTTGAAGAAGGAAGCATGGCGGCTTCTCTCCTAATGGTCCTAAGACTTGGTAAAACCCTGCCAACCTCCTATACACAGACGTGTACGTCTAATATCTTTCTACGGTTGGAGCGAATTACAATCTCACTCGTGCACTTGAAAGGAGGGCCCTCGTTCCATTTCTATTCTTTTGATTCGCGCAAAGAGGGAGAGGCCAACTGAACGACACTTTTTGCCGCTAGCGTCGCTTTCGACAGGCAATTTCTGGGAGGTGATCTAGTTTAGCTTTATTTGCTGAGAATGATCATGTGCTCTTGTGCTGGCCGAATCTTGGGGGTCAAGCTGTATGATCGAACATCAGGTTAAAGCTCGGGGTCAAAGTTGGCAACAAGGTTATTCACTTCTTTGGGACCTCTTTGTAAAGGCTAGGCAAAAGAAACAAGGGTAAAATTGGGCATAGGTGTTTAGCCTTACAATTGGGACAAGTCCACGCTTGCAAACTTAGGAAAGATGCTCTTGAGAGAACGACACATCATATAAAACTTTCCCTAGTATTTTGCAATATAGTAAATAACCATGTTCAACTAGCTGGAAGATTTGATAGAAGGAAATCTGTTCCTATCACTTGAGATATAGGAGTCCAACCAGCTTCTACATCTCAAATTTTCTCATAATCTCAAAATATAAGAAATAATTTGCTACATTGTCATGTACCAAGAAGCATGAGGCCAAAATGCTGTCTGGATGATCATCTTCTGCTTCAATAGTGCTTGAGTAGGAAAAGAAAAGAAAAGAAAAAAGAGAAATTAATCAAAACTAAGAAGGTGCTCTTTTATTTGTCTTCTTTATTGATTTTGAATTAAAATATCTAAATTATATATTAATAATTGTTACATTAGTGTTTCTAAATATCTTTTATCTTGGTAAATTAGTGAGTTAATGTGCCCTAAATCATTCCCTTTGTTATGGCAGACGACGTCGTGGAGTTGTACGTTGAGAAGAGGTTTGCGGGCAGGAGAGCGACTGCGAAATGTCTGGCAACCTTCAAAGAAGCGGGGATTGAGCGGGTTAGTGATCTCAACATGTTCAATTACGATGAGCTCCAGAAATTGGGAGTGCCGCCGCTCTTCATCAAGCTAATGCAGCGCGACGGGCTTCTTCAGCCGCTTAGCCCTGGAGCTGCTTCTCAAAGCCATTTTTTGGGTACGTATTTTCTTTGTCATTTCTTGGATTTATTTGGGGCCCAGGTGTTATTGGCCATATGGTTGATGAGAAGCTGGCGGATATTTTCCGCGTAGCTACGCATACAGACTTGACGCTGGGCCTGAAGGATGAACTTTTAGGTGCAAGCATCATGTCTCGGCCAGATTATGACCATAGTCGAGAGGGATTGATAGTCCAGACGTTTGCCGGGGTGGACGTTTCTGGGAAACTGGACGCCTTCAAGGAGAGTTTGCGAGCCAGTTTTGAGGAGGGGAACCACTTAAAAAAGCGGAAGCTCAGTGCGCAGGAGTTGAGCTTCGACGGTGAGAAGAAGCTGCAGAGAGGGGTTAGCCAGGGCTTCGCTCAGCTGCAAGCTCCGGGATCGTGGTTTTTCGACACGAGCCAGGGCGGGGTGTTGTTTTCACAAGATAAGCCAGATTGCATCTTCTCCAGCTGCCAGTATGTTGTAAGCTGGCTATGTGCCGTGATGGTGGGAGAGTTGAGCTGGGAGTTGGATGGTGCAGATTCGGGGACAAAAAGATGTGTTGGAAAAATTGTAGCACGGCTCAGGAAGATCATATCCACCCAGAAAGGGAGGAAAGTTGTATTCGGCTTCATTGCGGACCGGCGGGCCATTCAGTTTGTAGGCTTGGACGTCTCCGGAGGGGAGGAGACTTTCTGGTGGTCACAAGAGTATGCATTTCACTTGGAGGCCACAGATGACAGCGGATTCAGGCTTCTGTTGCAGATGATATATGCAGACCAGTCAGTACACGGGTATGTAACTCTTCTGGGAACT